CAGCTGCAGTCCCTGAACCTGGGCAGTAACAAGCTGTACCGCCTGGACGATGTGGCCGAGTTGGCCCTCAAGGCCCCCGGGCTCAAAGTCCTCGACCTCTCACGCAACGAGGTGGGTGCCCCCCGAGACCCCCCGAGACCCCCCCCCCCCCCCTGGCCCCCCCCCTGCCCCCCCCCTGACCCCTGTGGTGCCCCCCCAGCTGAAGTCGGAGCGGGAGCTGGACAAGGTGAAGGGGTTGAAGCTGGAGGAGCTGTGGCTGGACGGGAACCCCCTGTGTGACTCCTTCCGGGACCAGGCCAGTTACATCAGGTCAGTGCCAGCCCTGGGGGGGCCCCGAGGGGCCCGGGGGCCTCCCCCACACCCACACAGCACCCCCCTGAGCAGGGGGGCTCGGCAGGACCGGGACACCCCCCCCCCGCCCCCCCCCCCCCCCCCCCCGCCCCGCCGGCCCCCCGCCCCCCCCCCGTGTGTCCCCCCCTCTTTGTGTCCCCCCAACCCCTCTCATGTGTCCCCAAAACCCCCCCATGTGTCTCCAACCCCTCCATGTGTCCCCAAATCTCTGTGTCCTCAAACCCTCCCTGTGTGTCCCCAAAGCCCCTCTGTGTGTCCCCAGACCTGTGTCCCCAAACCTCTGTGTGTCCCCAAACCTCTGTGGGTCCCCAAGCCCACCCATGTGTCCCCACATCTGTGTCCCCAAACCCCCCCTGTGTGTCCCCAAACCTGTGTCCCCAAATCTCTGTGTCCCCAAACCCCCCTGGGTGTCCCCAGACCTCTGTGTGCCCCTAAAACTCCCCCTCTGTGCCCCCAAAATCTCTTTCGTGGCCTTTTCCAGCCCGTTTTCCTGTTTTCTACCTTTTCCTTTTCTTCTTTTTTTTCCTCAGTGTTTTGTTCCTCTTTTTTCTTCTTTTATTTTCTCTTTTTTCTCTTCAATTTTTGTGTTGTTTTTTTTCCCATTTTCTCCCTTTTCCCTTTTTTTCTCCCCATCTTTTTTTTTTCTCTTTTCCCTGTTTGTTCTTTTTTTGTTTTTCCTCTTTTTCTCTCTCTTTTTTCCTCTTCCCTTGTTCTCCTCCTCTCTGGAGCTCCACAACTTCTTCTCTTCCTCCCTCTCCTCCCTGGGGGTCCCCACAGCCTCCTCCACACCCCCCCCTTTTCTCCCCCTTTTTTTTTTGGGGCTCCCAAAATTCCTCCTGTGCCCGGGGGGGTCTGGAGGCCACGTTGAGGGTCCCCCCAGGGATTCCTTTGTCCCCCATAAGGGGCTGGGGGTCACATTGAGGGGGTCTGGGGGTCTCCCTGTCCCCCCTAAGGGGCTGGAGGCCATGCTGAGGGTCCCCCCTGAACGCTGGAGACCCTGGGGAGGGTCCCCCCGAGGTGTGGGGGCTCCCCCTGTGCCCCTCCCCGGGGGTCTGGGGGTCCCCCATGGGTGTGGAGACCCTGGGGAAGGTCCCCCCTGGGGGCTGAGGGGTCTCCTGGGGGTCTGAAGGCCCCAGTGAGGGTCCCCCTGGGGGTTCTGGGGGTCCCCCTGAGCCCGTCCCAGGAGCTGGGGGCCCTGGTGAGGGTCCCCTCGGGGGGTTCTGGGGTCTCTCTGGGGGTGCGAAGGCCCCACTGAGGGTCCCTCCGGGGTTTTGGGGGTCCCCTGGGGTTCTGAAGGCCCCAATGAGGGTCCCCCCGGGGGTTTGGGGGTCCCCCTGAGCCCTTCTCAGGAGCTGGGGACCCTGGTGAGGGTCCCCTTGGGTTTTTGGGGTCCCCCTGGGGGCTTTTGGGGGTCTCCCTGGGGCTCTGGAGGCCCCACTGAGGGTCCCCCCGGGAGTGTGAAGACCCCGCTGAGGGTCCCCCCGGGACGTTGGGGGTCTCCCTGGGGCTCTGAAGGCCCCTCTGAGGGTCCCCCCGGGGCTGGGGGGGTCCCCTGACCCCCCGTTTGGCGCTCGGGAGGGCTGGTTAGCCAGAGACGGGTAAGATCCCTCGGGGAGGGACAACCTAAGACAGGCACAGCCGTGAGCGGCCACACGCCCGCCTGGGGGGGCCCCTGGGCCCCAAAACACCCCCCAAAAAAAACCCCAAAAACACCTCCAGGGCACCCCCAAAAACACCCCCGGGAAACCCCAAAAACACCCGAAAAAACACCCAAAAAAACACGCACAAAAATACCCCAAAAAAACCCCCAGAACACTCCAAAAAATACCCACAAAAACACCCCAAAAAACACCCCCAGAACACCCTCAAAACACCCCAAAAAACATCTCAAAAAATACCCCAAAAAACATCCCCCAAAACACCCCGAAACACACCTCTAAAATACTCTCAAAACACCTCAAAAACACCCCAAAACACCCCCAAAAACCAACCCCAAAACCAGCCCTAAAATACCCCCGAACCACCCCAAAAAACACCCCGAAAAACACCCCCAAAACATCTCAAAAAGAACCCAGAAAATACCCCAAAAATACCCCCAGAACCCCCCCCTTGCTCCGGGTGGGACCCCCTGGGAATGGAGCCCCCCCCCCGGGCTGGGGGCAGCAGGGGGAGGGGAGGAGGCTCTGGGTCCCCTCCCCTGGACCCCCCAAATCTTCCTGTGCCCCCCCAGAACTCTCTGTGTGCTCCTCCCTCCCCTGGACCCCCCAAATCTTCCTCTGTTCCCCCCCTCCAAATCCTGGTTGTGTCTCCCCTTCTTCTGCCCTCCCCCTCTTCTGTCCCCCCCAAACCCCCCCTGTGCCCCCCAAATCCTCTGTGTGCCCCCCCCCC